CTCTAAGCTGAGTTAGTGTGAGCTAGCTCACAGTTTTTTAGCCTCCGGCTCACACATTTTTGTCTTAGCTCAGGAAGGGATGGCTCCAGAGCAAACTAATTTATGCAGTAGCCAAATCACTTGCTCACAACTTTAATGCCAGTAGCTCATAAAGTGGAATTTTTGCTCACAAGACTCCACAGCTTAGAGGGAGCATTGGCTATCACAGCTAATAATTGACAATAAACCTGTGTTTCATAAGCCCCCTTAAATCTATCTAAGCCACTGACCATCACATCTTGTATCAGTGAGTTCCACAGATCAACTACCCATTGTGTGACTAGTACGGTACTTCCTCCTATCTGTATGGAATCGAACACCAATCAGCCTCATACGGTAACCCTGAGTTTTAGAATTACAGTAGAAGGAGAAAAGTTTTTCTCTATTCACTACACTGTCCATAATTTTGTAGACATGTCACTCCTGCAGTTCCCTGTTTTCCCTAACTAAAATGCTTTAATAATGTAAACCAAATGCTTTAGTCTTGCCTCACAGGACAAGCACTTTAACCCTCATCATTTTGGTTGTCCTTCTCTGCATTTTTTTTCAATTTCCTTTTTGAGATCCTGCAACCAGAACTGTGGTGGCTCAAGTGGTTAAGACGCTGAACTGCAGGCTGTGGAAGGTCAGTAGTTCAGCAGTTCAAGACCCGAGTTGCCGCATGACGGAGTGAGCTCCCGTCTCTAGTTCCAGCTCCTGCCAACCTAGCAGTTCGAAAGCAAGAAATTGCAAGTAGATAAATAGGTACCACTTCAATGGGAAGGTAACAGCGTTCCGTGCGCCTCGGTGTTTAGTCATGCCGGCCACGTAACCATGGAAACATCTTTGGACAGCGCTGGCTCTTCGGCTTTGAAATGGAGATGAGCACCGCAACCCTAGAGTCGGACTCGACTGGCTTTCGAGCAAGGGAACCTTTACCTTTACTTTAACCAGAACTGCACACAATATTCCATATTAAACCACACCAGTGACCAGTTCTTACTGCCCTTCCCAAAGATCCCTCGTATGGAATTCCTTTTTTTTACTGCTGCTGCACATTGAGTCCACATCTGTAGTAAGATATCCATCGCAACCCCAAGGCCTTTGTCTTGATTTGCCATTGCCAGCTCAGACCCCATCAGCATACATGAAATCAGGAGGGAAAACTCTCCAGATCTGCATCATTTTGCACATAAACTAAGCTTCGCCTGCTCCCCTGCAACTAATTCACCCCATTTGGAGAGTTCATAGAATCAGGATCACAGAACTGGAAGGGGCCATACAGGCCATCTAGTCCAACCCCCTGCTCAGTGCAGGATCAGGTCCTTCAGGAGAGCCTCACTATCCACCCGTGCTTGGTGTCACGCAGCCTCACTGATCACCCCCAATTCATATCTACATAATTTGAATAGCCATGGTCCCAAAACAGATGCCCAGGGGACCCCTCTGCTTGGTGTAATGGTTAAGTGTGTGGACCTTAATCTGGGAGAACCAAGGTTTGATTCCCCACTCCTCCACTTGCACCTGCTGATGTGACCTTGGGTCAGTCACAAGCTCTGGCACAGCTGTCCTTGAAAAAGGGCAGTTTGTGTCAGAGTTCTCTCAGCCCCACCCACCTCACAGGGTGTCTGTTGTGGGGAGGGGAAGGGAAAGGAGCTCCCTTCACTGTGAAAAGTGCCCATTTATTCTCACCCTCTGCTTCTTCTTTCCTAACCAATTACCAGTGCATGAAAGGACATGTCCTCTTATCCTAGGATTGTTAAGCTTACTCAGAAGGCTTTGGGTGAGGCATCCTGGCAAATGCTTTTTGTGAGTCCAATTACACATTGTCTTCCAGGTCACCCCTGTCCACTCTCAAAGAACCATACAATTTAGTGGGCCAGAATATCCCTTTACAGAAGCCGTGCTAATATTTCTACTCATATACCCAAGAAATACGTTAAAGTAAGCAGTGTATAATTTCCCAAATGCTCATGGATCCTTTAAAATATATATATCAGTGACCTCAGTTATTTTCCAGTATTCTGGCACAGAGGTAAAAGTTAATGACTAATATTTTTGTGAGACAATCAGCAGTTTCATTTTTTAGTTCTTTAAGAGCTCTTGGGCATATACCATTCAGACCCAGTGATATGTTCATTTTCATTTTGTCAATTCACTCTAGATCATCTTTGGACACGTCTCCGTGGCTAAGTTTTTCACATATCCTCCCCAGAATTTTTGATTTAGGGACAGGTAAGTAATCTCCCAAAGGAGCTGCGGTGGCTCAAGTGGTTAAGACACTGAACTGCAGGCTGTGGAAGGTCGGTAGTTCAGCAGTTCGAGACCTGAGTTGCCGCATGACAGAGTGAGCTCCTGTCTCTAGTTCCAGCTCCTGCCAACCTAGCAGTTCGAAAGCAAGAAATTGCAAGTAGATAAATAGGTACCACTTCGGTGGGAAGGTAACAGCGTTCCTTGTGCCTTGGTGTTTAGACATGCCGGCCACATGACCATGGAAACGTCTTCAGACAGCGCTGGCTCTTCAGCTTTGAAACGGAGATGAGCACCGCAACCCTAGAGTCAGACTCGACTGGCTTTCGAGCAAGGGAACCTTTACCTTTAAAGTAATCTCCCTGACCTGGATAACCCAGGCTAGCCCAATCTCATCAGATCTCAGAAGCTAACCAGGGTCACTCTTGGCTAGTAAGTCGATGGGAGACCTCCAAGGTCAGCTGTGACTTGAGAGCACTTCCCACCAACACGAAATAATCTCCGAGCATAGTGAAGAGATTTGACCCTTCCTATCAAATTCCTTTTAACTCACATTTCCGTAGCTGCTTCTTTTCAAGTTGAATGTGGCTGGGCTGGACTTTCCAAGCAACTTACTGCTCGCATATATGATGACTTTGATAATATGGTCATTGTTCCCTGGCGGTTCAACCGCTTTTACCTCCCGCACCAAATCCAGGTACCACTCAGGATCAAATTCAGGGTCACCTCCTCAGTTGGCTTCATAACTTATAGTGCACAGTCATTTTACTTGTCACCTGTAGAAATGTGTCATCATTTGAGCAAACATTTCCCCAACCAATATCAGGTTAATTGAAGCCCCCCATTATGACACTACTAGAAATAATGCCCGTTGCGGAAATAAATACAACGAGATCTAGAAAGAGGCTCTGGGAGAGTGCTCTGGCTTTGGGCAAACAGTGTCAGTTTCCTGTGGCGACCTCAGCAGGGTTTAATGACAGAGTCCACTGTTTTCTCCAGAGGGACTGAAGAGCATTTGTATGTTTGAGTTATCTGTAGCCCTCACCTGGAGAGTGGTAACCATTGTTACCCATTCTCCTCTCCCCTATGAGGTATGTTATGCAACTGAAAATTCCAACTGCCTTGCGGGGAGGGGGGGGGAGTTTGAGGTGTGGAATGGACTAAAGTCCAATCAGCTTCCATATGCAAAAGACCAGGTTGTCGCAGCAGTTGTGGTGTGGGCGGGACCCGGGCTTTGCCTTCTGATTGGTGGCGATATATGCTGAGGAGCAGTGCCATCAGCCATACACTAAGGGAGTGCATTTTAGAATTAGAACTTTGGCACCCACTATTCAATTATATATAAGGACAGATTCTCACCAGCTCCAGCTCCCAACCTCCATCCTTAGACCACCCCCAAAGCTTTGGTCTGTGGAGCAATAGGGCACTCCAATCTTTATCACTAAGAGCCACTATGGTCCCCCTTGCACCACCCAGACCCAGCACAAGCATCATCTGAATACCAGCTGTATGACTCCAGCTTCAGCGTAACCAGGGCCACGAGAATTCTGTCCCACTAATACTTCCCCTCTCAGTGGCCCTGCAAGAAAATCCCCTGCCATGGCTACCCAGAAGAGTATCAAACATCAGCTTAATTAAGAGACCAATCTGATCAAAATCCATGAAGTCTACATAAAATTGCAGCCGTTTAATCTGTGGGGGTTTCATAAACTATCCTCCATCCACCACTACTCAAATTTCTGTGCAGAGGTGGGTGGGGGTTATATATATTGCCCATGCACCTGGGGATCCTGTCCTTTGCATGCTCCAAGCTGGGGAGGCCGGCTTTACCTGACCACCAAGGCTTTGCCACCAAGTGCTGATTCCCAACCAGGAGCCTCATCCCAGTCCCTGGCAAGGATACTCACAAACCGACACTTCACAGTTTGTTTTAGCATCTGCCTACAACATCCTAAGCAGGCGCCAAAGCAAGCATACAAATAACAATAAAACGGTCCCGAAAAGGTGGAGATCTTTCAGAGCACCCCATCAAAGCCTTCCTCAAACACCACAGATTCAGGTGGGGTAGCCGTGTTGGTCTGAAGCAGCCCTCCAACTTTGTCCTTCAAGACCAGGAATGCTGGCACACCCTACCCTATCAAGAAGCGCTGGGGAGGAAAGGCAGTTGGTGAGTTTTCCCACTGGATCGTCAGATACTTTAGGATCAGCTTAGGGCAGAGAGCGAAGTGCTTTCCCGTGCGCTCCCCACCCACACAGCCTCTTGGCCGGGAAACAGGCAGTCCGAAGACAGACACGGCCACCTCCACAACCACATTATTCTCTGCGACTGAACGGATGACTCACTCTTAGCCTTATTTGCTGCCGCCCTCCACAGTTGCCCCATTTGGCAGTGACGTTCAAGGGCTGAGATCGCCCCCCCAATAATTCCTGGAACGGAAAGGAAGGCAGGAAGGTGCCACTGCTCAGATGAGGCGTCCACCTCACCAGAGCCTCTCCAGAGGAGTTGGGAATGAGCTCTCCTCCTGGGCACAATGCTGGGGCTGCCCCGATCACACCACATGCGTCTCTCTGCGTCCAGGACGGTGCGTTGGGGGCAGGACGGAGCGGGGGGGGTTCATTAACAAAAGTGGGGGAGGAAGAAAGGAAAGGGGGCGATGCAGCGCTCGGCGACGTCCACGCAAAGGGAAGAGATGGGCTGGGGAGAGGGGAGCCTTCCCCCATCTCGGACTCACCTGGCCGATCGGCCTGCAGGCTCAGCGCCCCGAAGAGCAGGAGTAGAAAAGTGCCACTCGCGGCCCCAGCCATCCCTGTCCCTTCGCCCGGATCAGGGCTCAGGGCAAGCGGCTGCTCCAGTTATGGAGCCTGCGCGGCGCGGCCTCCTGGTGCCGGGAACACCCCCGGGGAGGAGCCGTCTCCCCCCACCCATCAGCATGAGGGACTAGCATAGGGGAGCCCAGCGGATTCCGGATTCGGGAGATCTCCAAGTGGGCCCAAGTTTCTCAGTTCTGGTCGCGGGGATCAGCGAGGATCTGGGGGATCTCCCCTTCTTTTGTGCGCCTGGCGTGTGTCGGAGGGGAGGTAGGCCCCCAAAGCTCGGTTTACAGTAAGAAGTCCTAAAATCCTGGCCACGGGGGAAGGTCTTATCCTATTATGATACTAATGAGGTAGCCGAGTTCGTCTGCAAAACTAAGGCTGGTGGAACGTTGCAGGCTTGGAAATTTCTTGCAACATCCGCTTTCATAGGCTTAAGACCGCTCCATCAGATGCAGCCCACGAGGATTTATGCCTTTTAAGGTGATGCAAGCTTCTTTCTTTCGTTTAGCCTGCTTGGATAATAAGCAGGAGTCTGCGCTACCTTAAAGACTGACATTTCTTGCAACATCCACTTTCATAGGCTTAAGACTGCTCCGTCAGATGCAGCCCACGAGGATTTATGCCTTTTAAGGTGATGCAGGCTTCTTTCTTTCGTTTAGCCTGCTCGGATAATAAGCAGGAGTCTGCGCTACCTTAAAGACTGACATCTTCTCATTCTAACGTAAATATTTGTGAGTTAGAGCCTCTTTCGTCAAATGCATGTAATGGGGCTTCACGAGGTGGGCCTCTGTGTATAAAGTTAGGAAGAGAAAAATGTGTACCTACAGGGTCAGAGTGCCATGAGATATATAAAGTACAAGGTAAGTATATAAAATTAAATGTAATTTTAGAAAGGCACATTCACTTTGATGAGGCTGTCTTTACGTTTTTCAAAACTTTCCATCATTTTACTTGGGCAAACCCACAAATGTTGCTGCTGGACAGGCATGGGCCGCTTCCACATGAGGATTCAAACATACATCCCCCCCCTCCCCCAAGCAGGCTGGAATGCCATCCACACGCTACTGACTGCCACCCTCATTTTCCTTGCTCATATGCATTTGCACAGACACAATGGAGATCATGCAAAGCCCCCCCCCCAGCCCCCATGTCCTAGCAACCCTCCATTTCCCCTCCCTTTCTCAGTTAAAAAAGGGGGAACCCTTGGAAGGCCCCCAGGTCATGCTCACAATGAGCATGACACTGTGTGCATGTTACCATTTAAACTGGAGCTTCCTGTGATCCCTGCAGGGGGAAAACTGCGTGGAAACAGCCAGGGTCAGGGCCCTTAAGAGTTGTTCTTAATTTTGCAGTCTGCTTCTCTTGTATTGTTGGTTGTGTATATATTATATTCCCCTTATGTGCATTGTTTTTAATTGTAGGATTCTGTTTGAGTCTTAAAGTAAATAAATACCTCAGGTTCAGGTGAGTAGCCATGTTGGTCTGAAGCAGCAGAACAAAGTTTGAGTCCGGTGGCACCTCTAAGACCAACAAAGCGTTATTCAGGGTATAAGCTTTCCTGTGCAAGCACACTTCTTCAGATAACAGT